GCCATTTTGGATCGTTTTGGGACCCTTGCGGGCTGTCTCGGGGGGCTCTGGCCGTCGTGGGGCTCTGCTGGGTGCTTTTTGGGGCTGTCTTGGGACTTTCTTGGGGGCCTCTTGGGGCCGTCTGGAGCCGTCTCGGGGCTCTCTTGGGCCGTCTTGGGGCTATCTTGGGCCGTCGTGGGGCTCTCTAAGGCTGTCTTGGGGCCCTCTTGGGGCGTTGTGGGGGCCTGTGGATCCATTTTGGGGCGATTTGAAGGCCCTCTGGAGCCGTTCTGGGTTTGGGAAAACAGCGAAACGAATATGGCTAAGTCTGTACGCTTCCCAAAAGGAATGGAACGATTTTGGTTTGTTTGGCGTTCTCTTCGGGTTCTTCGCGGCGTCTTGCTTGGAGGTCTTTTCGGGCGTTTTGGGAGTCTCTTGAACTGCCGTGGAGCCATCTGAGGCCGTCTTGGAGCACTCTCGGGCCGTCTTGGAACCGTATTGGACCTCTTTGGGGCCGTCTTGGGGGCCTCTGGTCGAAATTCGTTCAGTAGGGTGCGCGTGTGGGGTCCCAGGCCCCGTTAAAATATATAAATTGGAATAGTGATCACCATAGATGGCACAATGAAGGTTGCACCACATAGCCTGCTCCACGTAGATTGCGCAACATGTATTGCAAGAAACACACTGTTTGGGATTCACGCTGGCTAGCACTTCCTCCCCCTCCAGAGGCCTCTGGGGACCCTGGGGGGTCAGGATCTGGGGTGGAACTACAACGTAAGACCCTCGCTGTCCCCTTTGCCCTTCCCCCCCTCCTGCTCCACCCTCTCCTCGCTCCCCTCCTCCTCCTCCTCCTCCTCCTCCTCCTCCTCCTCCTCCTCTTCCTTCAGTTCGTCTTCTTCTTCCTCCTATTCGGTCTTCTCTTTCGTTCGTTCGTTCGCTCGCTCGCTCGTTCGTTCGTTCGTTCGTTCGTTCGTTCGTTCGTTCGTTCGTTCCTTCTTCTTCTTCTTCTTCTTCCTCCTGCTCCTCCTCCTCCTTCTCACCCAAGCTAGTACATCCATAATTCTGCATGCTTCTTGGCCCCCCTGGCAGGCCCCATCTGCCGCGCGAGCCTCGCGGCAGATCCCGGGAGAGATCTCGACGTAGTTTCCCGGCACGGTGTCGCATCTGGGGCGAGTGGCTGAGACGGGGTGTAGAGAGAGAGGGGGCGTGGGCGGGGATCGAGGAGGGAGGTCTCTCGATGGCTTCGGGCGACTTTTGGGGTGTCTTTGGTCCCCCCGGTGCACCTCAGGGCGTCAGGGACCAGGGCGGCGGCAGCGCTGACCAGAAGGGCAGCGGCGAGGCAGGGAGGGCGGGAGGCAGGGGACAGCGACAAGCGACAGCGAGGCGAGGGGTGGAGGTGGAACCCGTCCGCTTGCGCCGCTTTGCCGTCCTGAAGCCCCCTTCGGTGGCAACCCATGGGAGCCTCCCATGCCATCTTGTTGGCTTTGGCGACTCGACGCTGATCGACGATGATCGATGCTAAATCAACTCAAATCGATGCTGATTCGGCGCTTTCTCATCGATTCCCAAATTCTAGTCGATGCTAGCGCACTCTGAAGACGGAATTGCGCGGGTACCCAAGGCTCCCACGAACTACCGACCCCCCCCCTTCTACTCCTCCTTCTCTCCCTCCCCCTCCCCTCCCCCGCCGCCCTGCATGCTGCCCCTCGCCCTAGTGCCCCCCGCTCCTTCTGCGCACCCGTCCGCTGCGCGCCGGGGCCAGAGAGTTATATACGCGTCCGGTCTGTCTGCAAATGTCGGCCGCACGCGAGAGTGACGAGGGGCAACGGTCAAAGGGGGATAGGCTCAGGGGGGGGGTAAGCATCGAGCTGGAATCGGCGATACATCGCCGATAGGGGCATGATAGCCCATCCAGCCCCCAAGGAATGTGGGGATTCGCCATCGGGGGCCAATCGCCGATCTATCGGCGGTGTATCGCCGATTCCAACTCGATGTGTCCCTCCCTGAACCCTTTCCCAGTTCTCGTTGCACCTGAAGTGACCCTTGGCAAGAGTAGCGGAGGCCGCGGGGGGGGGGGGGCGGGCAACTCCAAGCGCGCCAGCCTGCCAGCCAATGCTGGGGGATCTCTGTGGGCCCGCACCAAGGGTCACTCTGGCGAAGGGCCGCTCTTGCGCGCAGCCGAAGATGTGTCCGTGTGCACCTCTCCCCGGGACTGCACCAGTGGTGCCGTCCTGTGGCTATGTCTTCTGCAGCAGCTCCGCGGGACAGCGGCGGCCGTGCCCGCGGGGAGCACGAGAGTACAGGCTCGGTAGTTCTCTCTCGCGCGCGGTCGGCCAGCAACTGAGGTAACGCAAGGACACGATAGGAGCCGCGCCTCCGACTGTGTATGGTCACCGTGCTACCATGGGGAACGCAGAATGAGGATCGTGTAAGCTTCTCTGGGCACGGCGAGCGCCGACCACTATTGCACGACCTAGATGTAAGGAGCGATCCGAAAACCGGATACCCTCGTGAGCCCAGAACGTTTCTTCTTCTTCCTCCAGCGTATTGACTGTGCCATGACCAACCCCAAAAAAGTCGCGCGATGAGACGAAGGAACATCAGAGAAACTCTGTGTCCGTGCTGCCGCGTGATGCGTCGCCTGGTGACTTGCAACTTCGCACGGAATGGAGACACAGCAGCGGGGTGAGCAACTCCGTATGAAAACAACTAGTTCTGCGATGGAGATTCGCACAATTCGTTACTATGCCTCAAGGAACGGTGAGGCGAGGAGGAGGAGGAGCAGGAGTTTTAAACCCGCGTGCTCCCGCCCGTGAGTGGGTGCCCCTGGTCTCGGCACCCCGCGCAGGCAGAACGGCCCGAGGCGGGGTGGGCCAGCGGCCTCATCTCACGGCGTCGTACTGCCGCCACTCAATGACTCATGGAGTCGCCCCGTGAGCGGCGGCAGTCTGAAGAAATGCTGCCGCCGCCCTCTCAGAGCTTGAGGAGCAGCCTGGTGGACGGCCGCAGCCGCTCCTCCGCTCTGCGCTCTTCCAGGGACCGCCCTGGCCGCTGGTCCCTGGACTCGTGGGCCTTCACGGCCGCCTTGCCTGGCGCAGGGCTGTGGCCTAACCCCTCGCCACGCTGGGGTGCATTGCGGCCTAGCCCCTCGCCGCGCAGGGGTCCTCCGTGGCCTAACCCCTCGCCGCGCTGGGGCCTGCTGCGGTCTGGCCCCTCACCGCGCTGGGGTGCTCCGTGGTGGTCTAACCCCTCGCCGCGCAGGGGTCTGTTGCGGTCTAACCCCTCACCGCGCTGGGGTCCGTCGTGGCCTGACCCCTCGCCACACTGGGGGTCGGTGCGGTCTGACCCCTCACCGCGCTGGGGAAAATCGTGGCCTAACCCCTCGCCACGCTGGGGGCTGCTGCGGTCTAGCCCCTCACCGCGCTGGGGTGCTCCGTGGCCTAACCCCTCGCCGCGCAGGGGCCGATTGCGGTCTAGCCCCTCACCGCGCTGGGGTCCCATGTGGCCTAACCCCTCGCCTCGCATGGGCCTGCTGCGGTCTAACCCCTCACCACTATGGGGTCCGCCGTGGCCTAACCCCTCGCCTCGCTGGGGATCGTTGCGGTCTAACCCCTCACCGCGCTGGGGTACTCCGTGGCCTAACCCCTCGCCACGCTGGGGCCTTCTGCGGTCTAACCCCTCACCGCGCGGGGGTGCGCCGAGTCTCGCACTGTCCCCGTCCTCGGTGCTACTGCCCACTGGCTCGGGCGAGGTCCCCCGACTATGCCACTCGCTGTGTTCGCGGTTCACGTGGTATCCGCGGGCCGAGCCCTCCCCCTCGCGGTCAGTCTGTCGGTTTCCCAGAGTGTGGGTCCGCTCTGTTAGTTGCGAGGTCCTGTCTACCACGCTGTTGGTCAAAAGGTCAGCGTCATGCTCACTGGGCTCGTCAGGGACCTCCGCCTCGGGCCTCTGCTTGCCTTTGGCACTGCGGTCTACCCCCTCACCGCGCAGGGGATTGCCGTGGCCTAGCCCCTCGCCGCGCAGGGGTTCCATGCGGTCTAACCCCTCACCGCGCTGGGGAAAGTCGCCGAAGAACTTCTCCAAGTCCCGCTGCAGGTCTGTGTCGTCGTAGTCTGCCGTCGTCTCGGGCTGCGCAGTTTTGTGGCCTAACCCCTCGCCACGCGGGGGAACGCCGAGTCTCGCACTGTCCCCATCCTCAGTGCTACTGCCCACTGGCTCGGGCGAGGTCCCCCGACTATGCCACTCGCTGTGTTCGCGGTTCACGTGGTTTCCGCGGGCCAAACCCTCCCCCTCGCGTTCAGTCTGTCGGTTTCCCAGGGTATGGGTCCGCTCTGTTAGTTGCGAGGTCCTGTCTACCACGCTGTTGGTCAAAAGGTCAGCGTCATGCTCACTGGGCTCGTCAGGGACCTCCGCCTCGAGCCTCTGCTTGCCTTTGGCACTGCGGTCTAACCCCTCACCGCGCTGGGGTCCTCCGTGGCCTAACCCCTCGCCACGCTGGGGTCCTCTGCGGTCTGCCAGGTGGTACCCTATGCTGTGCTGTACATCTGGGATCTGCTGGTGGTTGTCATCGCTGTCCTGCTTGTCTACGGGCTGCTGGAGGCAATCCTCGCTGTTCTCCTCTTCAAGGAAGTGGTCGAGGTCTGCCATGTCCATGGTGCTCCGTCCTGCTGGTGGGGGACGGGCACCCCTCTGCATCCCGTCTGGCGCAGGGCTGTGGCCTAACCCCTCGCCACGCTGGGGTCCTCTGCGGCCTACCCCCTCGCCGCGCAGGGGTCCATGGTGGCCTGTCCCCTCTCCGCGCAGGGGCCTGCTGGAGGGTTTCTGCTGCTCCTCCGCCCTTCCCGCCTCCAGGGACCGCTCTGGCTGCGGTACCCTGGGTCCCCTGGGCCTCTCGAGCTCGGGCGCTGGCGTTGCCGTGCGCAGCTCGGCGGGGCTGCTGGTGGCCCTGGCCTCTGGGTTCCTCCTCGGCTGTCTGGCTGGAGCCCTGCTTGGCACTCGCTCTGCTGCTTGCGGTCGCGGGCTGCGGCTCCTCACCACTGGCTCAGTCACGCCCAGGAACTGCTCAGCCATTGCTCTGCGCCGCTCTGCCTCCTTCGGGTCCTGCTGCTGGATCTGCCTGCGCGCCTCTCCGCTGTTGAGCCATGCCAGGCGGCAGATTTCCTCCGCCGCTCGGCGCTGGCTGCGCTGGCGGCTCGGCCCTGACACGTTGCTGAACAGCCTCTGGTAGACGCCAGTCTGCAGCGCCCTCAGCACATGGGGCACGCACGCAGCCTGCCACGATGGCCAGCCCTGTTCGCCCTCTTTCTGGCTCCAGCTGCCAGCCAGCGACTGCATGAGCTGCTCGAGCCTGTTCCTCTCGAGCCACGCCACCTCGTGCTCGGGGTCCTGGTCAGCTTCTCCTTTGTTGTGTCGAAGCCTTGGGTGGAGCAGGCCGGCCTCATCAGCTTCGCTCACGAACTTCATCAGGTCGGGCCCCACTGGCTTGGTCAGCGTTACTGCCACCTGCACAGCCGTCTGCATCGGGCTGTTGGCGTCGTGCCTCTGATCGGGTCCTGCCATGGTCTCCATCTCCTGGTTGCTCGGCTCACCCTCCAGCTCTGGGGCTTCACTGTCTGGGGTCGAGTCATCATCGTCCAGGTTCTCTGGTGACCACTCTCGGCTGGCCTCCGCTGTTCTCGGCAGCGGCCTGCGCTCGCTGCTGGGGATGCTGTGCGCTAGGATGTTGTTCCTTCTGTTCTGGAAGGCGTCCATGTGCACTCTTGCTGCCTGCTGCCTTGTACCGTACGGGAGGGTAAGCATCCTGGTCATGAGCCTCCGTCGCGTGCGGTGCGTGTTGCGCCAGACTTCTTCGCAGAAGTCCTTGATCTGCTGAAGCTCCTGCACGGTGACGGCCCTGGTCTGCTCTTGCGTGTCCGTTCCGCCACCCACATTGGTGATGGCCAGGAGGTACGGTACGCAGTGCTCCATCCAGTCGTCCATGTCGTCCCAGACCTCTTGGTCGACCATGTTCATCCACTGCTCCGCGTAGCCCTCCATGTGGTCCACGAGCCTCCAGCTGGCGTGGACGACAGAGTGCGGATGGCTGGGTGGCTGCTGTGGAGCTGGCTGCGGGTCCCCTGCCTCTGAGCTGTCCCCGTCCAGGTCGATCGCCTCGTGGTTACTCAGGCCGAGCTTGAAATCTCCAGGCATGGTGATCTCGTTGAGACCCTCATCAGCTGGGTCTGCTGCTGGCTTAGCTCCTCTTGGCAGCTTGCCCCTCTGCAAGTCCGCCAAGACCCGCCGCCCTGCTGCTGTTGGGGGCTGACACGGCCTTGCCAGCTTCCTTGCCACTCCTGCCACAATCCTGCTCTTGTGGTCCCCAAGGTAGCTGGTGCCGCCACATTTCTCGCACCAGAGCCAGCCATGGGTGAACTGCGTCTTGTGGGAGACGTGCACCACCTGCGTGCCGATCTGCACCGCCTTGAAGTCGAGCCTGACGTTGCCGTGCTGGTCCTGGTGGCCGCCGTATTTCCCGAGGCATTCTCCCGTCTCTGCCAGCCAGTCTCTGATGCTTTGTCCTTTGGCTGGGCCACTGCGACACGCTGCACACCACCATCGCGGATGTAGCTTGCGCAAGTCGTGTCCCAGCTGGGCTGCCCTGTCCCTCGCCGTCTGCGGCTTTCGGCGCTTGGCCTTGGGACGCTGAGGGGCCTTGTTGGGGTCCTCCACCGTCACCGCCAGGTTGATGGCCAGCAGCCGGTTTTGCACCGCCGTGGTGATCTGGTCCCTGATCTGCTGCTGCGCGATGATGGCTGGATCCAGTGCTCCATGCTCCGCTCCCCAGCCTGCGTACTTGTCTGCCATCTCGTTTCCTATGACCCACCAGGTGGGACCATTCCACCTCTCCAGCTCGGCTGGGTGCTCAAGCAGGTGGCTTGGGATGTGGTGGCCCATGATGGTGTCCGTGCTGTTCTGCAGCTGCTGCTTCGTCTGGAGCCAGAGGTCGTAGTTCGTGCTCCTGTAGTCCAGATCCTCAGGATCCTGGATCTGCTTGAGTGCGTCCAGGGCGTACTTGCAATCGCTGACTATGTTGAGCCCCCTGGCTGTCGCCGCCGTGGTGTACCCGATGGCTTTGCTCATGGCGGTGAGCTCTGCCCGTGGCACCGTGTGCGGTGCCCTGATCGTGCCGTACCAGGCGGCCACTTCCTGCGGACGTCCTTGTTCGTCGAACCTGAAAGCCACCACTGCCCAGCCGCAGCGTCTGAGGCGGGGGTCCTTGGCCGTGTCCCCTGCACCGCCTGAGCCGTCCGTGAAGACATAGTCTGCTCGAACCTTGTACCCTGACTGGGCTGCCGCCTGAGCCTCTTCACTGGTGCAGAAGATCTGCGCCGCCTTCGCCGCGTCCTCGTCTGGGTCGACCTTGGCTGCCCAGGCCGCTGGCGGGATGCCTCGGAGCCAGAAGTGCAGGTCTTGCCGCTGGTCCAGCGCGTCCTTCGCCTTCTTCGCCAGGTCGGTGTCATTGCTGTGCCCTATCTCTGCGTTGGCAGGGCATGCGTAGTAGCGGTGTTCCTCTGTCTCTATCGCCTCGCCGCATCTCGCGCAGGTGTCGTCGCCTTCTTGGTTGAGGTTGGCCGCCCTGCGACGCTCCCTGGTCCAGATGCCCGCCACCGCTATGGTCTCCAGCATGGCTGCCTCTGCATGCTGTCCTTTGCGCCTCCTCCTCCTCAGGTGGCGCTGCAGCTCATAGAGGTCGCCTCCAGCCTGAGGTCCTTCTCCACTGCGATGGCCAGCTGCCTGCTGCCAGAGCTGCTGCTGCGCGCTCTGCTGGACTTCATGCAGGAGCGCGCCGAAGTGAGGAATGTCATCTGGCTTGTAGGCCCACTCGTCACCTGCTGGGCTGATCCAGCTGTCCAGGCGTCGCGGTATCCAGCCTAACCCAAGCAGCTGTGCGATGACCCCTGCCATAGGCCCCTTGACCTGCTGCCACCTGCGGTTGGGTTCCAGGGCGCCCAGCTTGGCGTAGAGCAGGAGCCAGCCTCTCTGGTACCTCTTGAGCTCCGTCGGGTGGTCGACTATGGTGAGCCAGAACTGCTTGATCTGGTCACCGATGGCTCGGGTAACTGCCTCTTGCATTCCCCTCTGGATCAGGAGGATGGTGGACGTGCAGCGTCCAGCCTTGTGTCCGCCTGTGAGGAGCGCTGCCTCCGTAGCCCTGACCGCCTTCGCCTCCGTGGGCGTGATGCCGTGCGCTGGTAAGTCCCAGGCCTGCTGGCAGTAGGCACCTGCTGAATAGACCTTTGCCGCGCCTCTGGCGTCCGTCTTCGCTAGGTCCTTGAGCTTGGCCACCCTCTGCTTGGCCTTGGCCTGGCGCGCGGCATGGGTGGGTCGCCGCAGCTGCTTGCCGAGGCTGGTGTCGACGCCGAGGTCGCGCACTACACCTGGTTGCTTGTTGGGGGTGCCCAGGCTGTCCAGGATGCTGGCGACTTCTGCCTGGAGGTCCTTGTCCGAGGCCACCACTGCCGTCTTGACGGAGATGGGTATCGAGAGCTGCTTGAATCCGTCGTGCACCAGCGCTGCCACGTGCTTGATCTGGTCAATGACCTGCCGCCGCGCACCCTCTACCTGCAGGGCCAAGCCGTCCAGGTACTGCTGCATGACGACGAAGATGTGGTGCCTGTGCGCTGCATCCAGGATGCCATACAAGAGCGGTCTGGTGAGGCCGACCGCTTGGCCACAGCCAGCTACCATGCTGTTGGCAGGCTCGACGATGTCCGAGAAGAGGCTGTGGGCCATGATGGCCCTGGGCGCAAGGTACATCTGCACGGCCATTGCCAGCGGCAGCAACGGGTACTGGAGGGCGCTGGCCGTCTCGATCAGCTGGTCTAGGCCTATGTTGTCGTAGAAGTTTGCCGCGTCGTAGAACATTCCTGCTGCATGAAAGCCCATCTCCGTGGCGGCTTCTGCCCTCATCAGTCTGTGCATTGCCACTCGTAGCGCTGAGGAGCCAGCTACTGCCGTATCCCAGAAGCCCGCCGCTGCCTTGCTCCAGGTGGCTACTATGGGCCTCCTGGCTGCGCTCCAGATGCGGTACGGCATGGGCATGAGGCCGATGGGGCGCTCACCGCCGATTCCTGGCTTCTTGCCCAGCAGCAGCTCCAGCACCAAGTAGAATTGCCACGGCCACGCTGCCCGTTGCTCACAGCTGGTCAGGCACTGCACGAAGTCTTCCAGCCCCTGGGCGCCCATGGCCTTGAGCTCTGGAGTCCTCCACCAGTCCGCTCCTTGGCCAGCATTGCGCTTCGGGTGCTGGATGATGGAGCCGATGATGTCCTTGCTGATGGGCTCGAGGGCATTCTCTTGGGCCAAGGCAGCCTGCCTCAGCTTGGCCAGCGCCTCTTGGATCCTCTCGGCCTTCTGTGCATCTCGTGTCCACCTGCGTTGCCATGCCTCTTTGCGCAAGTCCACCAGCTGCTGCGGGTGGTTGATGACCTGGCCATCGTGCTCAAGGATGTCCTCCAGGTGGCTGCACTCCGCTGCCTTGGTGTAGGCGTGGGCCATCTTCGCACTGCCTGCCGTGGCGTCGTGCACCCAGTAGATGTACGCCTTCTTCACCGCCTTAGTGAGTAGCTTGGCCATGCTCTTTACCTCCTCCGCTACCCTGCTGATCGTCCCTGGGTCCACGAGGGCGCCCTCTGCTATCGCGTGCAGGTCTGTGAGGAGGGCCTGCTGCTGGTCCTTGGCTGCACCTTCTTCGTTCAGCCTGCCTGGGTCAGGCTGGTTGAGCTGCTGCGCGAGCTGCCGTCTTGTGTTGATCTGCTGCTGCGTCTGGTGGCCGCTGTGGGTGCGGACCTGCAGCTCTCGGCGGCTACTCGGGCCACTGCCTGTTCCTGGAGCATCATGTAGTTGCCTTCGCGCTGCTCCTTCTGGTGCTCGTTCGCCTATAACTTCTCGCATAAACCTCCGCAAGTTAGCAAGCTCCCTCCAATGCATCATTTCCAATTCGTGCCTCCTCGTCGGCTCCTCTCGCGCAAGACCTTGGAGAAAGCCTCGGCGTCGTGGTTCTGCATGTCTCCATGCTCGCTCGCAGAGATCCCTGATGATGTGGCTGAGGCCGGCCTGCTGGTACCTACGCCTGAGCAGTCTCACCATGCCATTGTTGCCTCCGCCACCCAAGATGGTCTCCAGGAACGGCACACAGAACTGCATCCAGTTGCTGTTGTCCGTGGGGAGCTGCACCAGGTTATCCATCCAGATGGCCGCCCAGTACTCCAGGTCGTCTCTCATGGCCACGTAGTCTTCCCGCTCCCGCTGGTGCTGGTCATCATTCCAGAGGTCTGGTGGGGGCAGGCCCATATCTCGTTGCTCCTCTGCCTCTGGGCCTGGCGGCGCTTGGTTCTGACTCCCCAGGTGATCGGTACCCTCTGCCTCCAGAGTGCCAGCTGGCTGAGGAGGTGAGCAGTGCGTGTCACCTGGGGCAGTTTTACCAGAACCAGCTGCATGACGACGAACGGTCTGGCCGTAGTCGATGCTGTCCTGCTGCCCCTTAATGAGCTGGTGGTGCCCGTCGCAGTCCTCCTGATCTGCGGTCTCCTGGCGGTGCTGCAAGCAGTCCTCCTCCTCCTCGAAGGGGTCGTGGTCTTGGACGTCCAAGGTGCTGCGTCCTGCTGGTGGGGGAAAAGCTGATCCAGCTGCACGACGGCGAACGGTCTGGCCGAACTCGAGGCTGTCCTGCTGCCCCTCGATGTGCTGGTGGTACCCATCGCTGTTCTCCTGGTCTGCGATCCCATGGCGGTACTCCAAGTAGTCCTCCTCATCCTCGAAGGGGTCGTGATCTTGGATGTCCATGGTGTTGCGTCCTGCTGGTGGGGGAAGGGCACCCCTCTGCATCCCTTCTGTGCAGCTGTCTGCGCTGCTGTGGGTTGGTCCCACGTCGAGGTCTGGGACGCGTCCCGTGGCGGCGCACTCGGGGGACGGGAACCCCTGACCCATCTCAGAGCAGGGGCCAGCTGCCTTCCCATGGTCCGCTGCGCTCGCCTGTGTGGGGGATGGGTACCCCGAGGAGAGTGAGGAGGGGCCTGCCTCTTTCTCTGGGCCAGGCCGCCTCGCCCTCATCTCTTGGAAAGCTGTGCCCGTCTCGGGGGTCCAGGACGCGTCCTTTGGCGGCGATGCTGGGCTGAGGCAGGGTCGCTCTGGGCTCTCTTGGGCTGGCCCCTCTGTGAGCTCCTGGACCTCAGCCTGAGGAGGGAAGACCTCCTCAGGTGCTGGCTGATTCTCAATGTCCTTGGTGCTACTGCCGCCGCCTCCTGCTGCGCCTCCACTGCCTGCACGCCTCTGCTGCAGCTCGGGGGGGCCCTCACCCCGCTCGGTGGGGGCGCGATCCCCCGAGCTTCCTCCCGAGCTCTTCGATGGGCTCATGGCTGGTGCGGGAAACCCGTCTTCGTGGCCTACCTGGCTGCCAGACATGACGGGGCCAAGCTCCGACGCCGACGGGCCCTGTCCACCTCCTGAGTCCTCATCGGGAAGTGCCTGGGTCTTGCCCTGTCGACTTGCTGCTGCCTCCTGCGCTCGGGCATCATGGTGCGAGAGCTGCCGCGCCAAGGGGGAGATCTACGCCCACCACGCGTGGATCTTCCTTTCGACCCCTGCCCATGGCGTAGAGGTGACGGTGTCCTTGATGCTCGCGCTCTTGTAGCTCGGGGGCCTGCTGCGCCCGAGATGTCGTCCACGCTCTTCCTCTGGGATGCCGATGCTCTCGCACAGGCTGAGCTCGAGGGTGCTTGCGAAGCGGTCGTGCTGTTGCCCCAGGTCCAGCATTTCCCGCTCCATCATCTTGCCGACGACTGTGTGCTGCAAGTGCTGGGGCAACTCGTCGTAGGCGCGCGCGCTGACCCGCTCGGAGGTGGCCTGCCACAGCTCGTCAGGGATGACGTGCTTGACCTCCTTGTCGTAGTACAGCTGCGGCACTGGCTCCATGTCGTTCTCGTCCAGGTCGCATCCTGCCTCTGCCAACGCTTGCTGACGTCGGCGCATGGCCTCCTGGCCTCCGCGCGCCGCTCGTCTGCAAGCGGCTCTGGACTTCGGCATTCTCTCGACTGTGACTGGCGGCTTTATGGCTGCTGGCCTGCGAAGTACCCTGCCCTTGAGCATGAGAGGCCGCCCCTTCAACTTCAAGCGGATGCCGATGTGCGGCTTCCACGGCGCGGTCCTGAGCAGCTCCAGCTGGTCGAAATACGGCGCCAGGCCCTGCGAGATCAGCGCGAAGTCGATGCACCTGGCTTCACCTACTGCTGGGAAACATGTGGGGGCGCCATCCTCCGCCGCAGCTACTTGAGCATTCAGCACCCTGGGCCAAATGCTGTTGTTGAGCTCCGGCGGCGTCATGTTGAAGCCCCCAAGCGCTGCCCAGGGCCCTCCCCAGACGGCCATCTTCTCCCGCAGGTCGCAGAGGATGTCGACGTTCCTCTCTCCAAAGCCCGTCCCACACTCAAGGTAGACGAAAGCCACTGCGAAACGGACCTTGTGCAGGTTGGAGATCACCACCGTGACGTCGCTGCCGTCCTCGTGCAGGTAGTGCTCATCGAAACCCGCGATCCTGTCCTGGATGTCCAAGGATCCTCGCGTGATGGCACACGTGCCTCCTCGAGTGCCTTCTCCTTCTCCTGGCCGTGCCTTGGTCCAGTAGCTGTGCGTGCCATTCCTCCTGGGCGCCGCTCTTGCCTTGCTTATCTGCGCAGGCTGGCGGAGGTGGTGCTCCGCGATGCCAATGATGTCCCTGTCCTTGGTATTGTTGATCTCCATGAGGTAGCCCTGTGCCTGGGGGCCCCAGGTCGTGACGTTGAAGAAGTCAATGTGGTACGGGCGGCGAGCCTTCTTCGCGCTCGCCTTGGGGCGGCTACCCTGCTGAGTGGTCACCTTGCCCTTCTGCGTCGACGACTGTCTCAGCGCGCCTAGCCTGCGAGACCTTCTCTCGCGCCTCCTGGATGTGGGCCTCCACTCTGGCTCGGCGTTCTTCTGCTTTGTCATGTTCTGCTGCGCCTGCTTCTGGTTGGGCAGCTGCTGCGGCGCCGGTGGGCGCAGCCGCGGCGGCTGTCCCTGCTGCCTCAGTGCATGTGGTGGCACCTCGCTGAGGGGCTGGGCTGGCGGCGCAGACACGCTTGCCTGGTGGGGCTTCTGCTGCTTCTGGGTCTTGCTCTCCGCTCTTTGACAGGCGCTTGGTGCGGGCCTGCTCGAGCTGGCGCAGCTGCTCCTGGTGCCTGGCCGTCTCTTCCTCCAGTAGTCGCAGGTGCTTCGCCGTCTCCTCCTCGTGCTCCTTGACCGTCTGGGCCATGCGCTCGCCCTTGGCCTTTGCTGCTCGCCAGACCTCCTTGTCGGGCTCGGACCACTTGTGGAAGTCATCAGGCTCATGCTCGAACTGCTCCAGGAGGGCTGCCAGAGTTGGCTTCTCGGCTGCAGGTTCAGCTGGTGCCTCTTGCTTGCCGACTGTGGCCTTGAGCTTGTCGAACTCATCTTCGGCTGCAATGGAGGCTTCCATGGCTTCACGAAGCTTGCGTTCACTCTCAGCCAAGTACTGCTGGGCACTCTCAACTTGCTCCCCTGCCGATCGTACTTTCTTCTGGAGTTTGTCCAAGCGTCGAGCAGCTGCCTCCACTGCCTTGAATCCAACGACTGGTTGGTCTGCTGGTGGCTTGGCTGCGGCGAGCTCTGGCCAGAGGGCCTCGTAGTGCTGCCTGAGCGGGTCGTCCTTGCTGAGCTTGCTGTAAGCTGCTGCGGCGGCTGCCTTGAGGTCGACAGTCTTGTCGTGAGGTGGTGGCTGGCGTTGGCCTCCTTGTCCTTTCCCGCCTGCACCACCACCTGGCTGCCAACCATCTGCCCAGCTGATCCTGGGCGAGGTTCCTCCTTGGGGCTGTGCTGCCAGCCACCCACCATCGTCGTCACGGAAGACATGTCCGTCGGGGACGAGGCAGGCGAGGTTCTTGCCGCAGATGCAGAGATCGCCCCTGCTGGTGATATTCTTGCAGTGGCGCCATCTGCTGCACCCGTCACACACCACGTAGCTGCTGCGAGGAGGGCGACTGCCACTGCTGCTCCTCTTCCACGGGGGAACCCTCTGGCGATTCGGGGTCCCCGACCAGGCGCTGCCCGCCCCGCGTCCGCCGCCGCCACTCCCCATGGCTGCAGCGGTGCCGCGCGCGCGCCCGACGCCCGTCTGGGAACTGTCCTCGGTCCAGAGGTCTCCCTTCGGCCTGGAGGCTGGACAGCCCCCCAGGTCGTCATCTTGAGCCAAAATGGCTACGGAGGAGGAGGAGCAGGAGGAGGAGGGGGAGGAGGAAGAGGATGGATGGATGGATGGATGGATGGATGGATGGATGGATGGATGGATGGATGGATGGATGGGGCATCATCAAAGAGGCCCTGGCGACCGTCTGCACGGAGACGACCGCCAGGGCCCCAGATGTCAAGGGTCTGCGCCGCCTCGGGCGCGCCGCGCGGGCGCCGCTGCGACGAGGGAGGTGCCCCGAAGCAGCCCAGACAGGCATCCGTCCGACCCGGACCTGTCCCACGGACAAGCCAGGGGGGCGGAAAAACCACCCCCGCGGGGACAGAGCGGGCCAACCCCGCCGCCGCCAGCGGCCGCCCCCACACCCCGAGAGGGGGAGCGGCAACGCACGGGGCAAACGCCCGACCAGGGCGGCGGCCTCCCACACCCACGCCGAGGGGCGCCCCGCCCAGACTTCGAGGCGGGTCAAGCAGGACAGACCGAGGGCCTGCCTCTACTCCGCCGGCCGCGCGGGCGTCCGCGAAGGACGCCTCGACTGCGGCCCTCGGCGTGTCCGCAGTGCCGCCGGTGACGTCGGCGGAGACCATCGCGCCCGCGCCGCCCTCCAGCACGGCAGCGGCGCACTCGTCCAGCATCCGCAGCATGTCGTCAACCTCGCTCGCGCCCAGGGGCTCCGCGATGTGCCCTGCCTCAGAGCTCTCTGGCCCGCAGGAGCCCTCGCCGTCGACCTCCGCCGCTGACTGGACCGAGCTGTCCAGCCCCGCGACAGCCTCGACCACATCCGACTCCCCGCCCATGAAAGCGACGCACTCCGTCGGCAGCTCGGCCGCCACCGGCACGGTCCCCTCCACGATCGCGTCGCACACCGTCGGCGGCACGGCCGCCACCGGCTCGGACGCCTCCCCGATCAGGTCGGAGAAAGCCTCGACCCAGAAGCCCTCCTCGAAGGTGGCCTCGGACGCCCCGCGCTCGTCGCCGACGACCTGCGAGCACGGCTGCAGCTCCACGCCGAGCGCCTCGAGCAGCAAACCGGGCTGCTGCGGGTCCTGCCAGTGGCCCGGCGCCCACGCCACGCCCGCAAGCCCGCCCTGGCGCGCCGCCAGGCTCCAGCCCGCAGCCAGGCCGTGCCCGAAAGCCTGGGCCCCGCTCTCCGCGACGGGGCCGCACCCCTTCCGCGCAGGCGCGGGGGAGCCCTCCGCAGCGGCGCCGAGGCGCGGCCCGCGCTGGGCAGCACGGAGCGCCTGCGCGTCGGCGCCCTCCAGCTGCGCCCTGGGCGCGGCTGCATGGAGGGCGGCGTTGCGCCCACAGCCTCTGGGGCCACGTGGGCGCGCGGCCCTCCACCAGCGCGGCGAGGGCTGGAAGAAAGCAGCGGACGCGGGCGGCCACCTCGCCGTCGCCGCCGATGACCAGGAGGGCCTCCTCCGTGTCCTTCCGCTGGCGTGTGGCGGCCGCCAGCTGCGACTGCAGCCGCGCGACGAGGCGGTCCGCAGACTCACGGGCACCAGTAGCGCCGCGCAGCACCGCCGCCGAGCCCGATCCCGCAGCCATCACTCCGCGAGCCAAGAGCCCTGCCCCCCCAAGGCCCTCACGCCCGCCCGAGATGGGGATACGCCGAGGGACAAGGTCCAGGAGCAGGGGGCCTACGGAATTGGCCTTGAGCCAAGATTGCTACGGAGGAGGAGGAGGAGAAGGAGGAGGCGGAGGAGGAGGCCCACTCCCCTATCAACAAGCTCAATCGCGTGCATTGCCCCTCCCTCCCCCCCCCGGCCCCCCCTTCCGAGGTTTACCGGGCTCGCCTGTCGCCTCCCTGTCGCCTCTCCAGGGGCTCCTCGTCGGCACCGTCGCGCAGGAAGGACTCGTCGGAACGGACGGCGCGACGACTGTTCCGAGCTGGCAACATGGATGAGACGAAACCAGTCGCTGCTCCACATGCGCGGGTCGTTCCAGAATATCGATGAGCGAAGTGCGAACCACCAAGGCATCCTGCATCGATTGGACATGATGCAGGTGGTCGGGCGATCTACCTCGCGGCCGTTAGTTGCCAGTGGCTGTGCCTGGTGGCCCGTGCTATGCCGAGAGAAAGCTGGCGACAGCGGTGCGCTGTGGACCACTTCCTCGTCGCGCAACGGAGTGGCCATGTACGTGGTTAGCTCAGGCTCCAACAGCCGAAGGAGATCGTGTGCGCACTCCTGGTTGAAACGCCGCACGACGGCACAACCTACATCCGCCTGGTGGATTTTAGTTTCGCCAACTTCCCGGATGTGACGGCTGGTGCACCCAGTATGCCTTCGCGAATAGTGCTCGTCGGCCGGCGGTGATATGCCGAGAGGATCTCTTGCGCTCGAGAAGAGAAGCCAACAACATAACGAGATAATGATCATATATCGGAATCCGCCGACGCCTTGAGCTGAACGGCTACGGAGAGCAGGTGGAGGAGAAGAAGGAGTGCGCTGGTGGAGGAGGAGGGGGTGGAGGAAATGGAAAGGGAGGAGAACTCGGAAGGGGAGGAACAAGAACACGCAATAGGCGATGCTACACGTGATCGCGGAGTGCAGGGGTGTGAGCGAGGAAGGGGCGGAACCAAGGAAGGCGAACACAGCGATAAAGACCAACAACAGCTGAGAAATGAGCAGTATGCCTTGCGCTGTATGTGCCTGGCTGCGACACCAACTCGTCGCACAGTACATGCCTGATCGGGTGACGAAGAAAGAGGGTGGCGGTGCAGATTGGAACGACTTGGAAGGGACAATGGGCAGCGAGGAGTGGAAGCCGAGGCTCAAGTGATGTAGACTGAACGCCAGAGGGTGCATTAACATATAAGCACACCTAACCTCTACAGGACTTCGCCTCGAGTTCTCGCGCTTGAGATCTCGGCTCTCCCTGGCAACTGCAACGTTGGTGAGACATGTTGTGCCCAATGCACTCCGAGTCGCCAATCCGCGTCATGTAGGGAATTTTGAAAGCCTCGCAGATGCTTACGGCTGTTTTTTTTTCGTTCGTGAATGGGGTATCGTGAACTGTCGCCGCTCACACCTGGCATGACGCGCGTGAAGACTTGCACTCGTGTAGGTGTTCCAAATTCACACTGGTACGTTTGTGGCGCGATCTGGATGATGCTGCACACGCGTTCTCCCCGCCTAATGCATTCCAATCGTGGTCTAGCGCACGTCCGTGACGGATTGAATGATCTATCGACGCACCACTTCTTACAACCACTTGTGTAAGTATGGACGTGGCCAGTCATCAGCGTCATCATTCTTTGCCCAGCTAGCAGAAATCTCGATACCTAGGCCACGCAATTGCGAATGACAATGATGCGGGCGTCTGGGCTGCCTTGCTGGGGTTGCGGGGCTCGAGTGCCAATGTCAAGAAGCCCCCCGCCAACGCCACAGCAGATGTAAGAACCAGCTCGCCGCGGGGAGCCGGTTTCTTCGCAAAATGATGTGTGTTGATCGCGGGGGTGTGTCGTCGGCGGGTCGCGAGGCTCGAAAGCAATTACGGAATCCCGCCACAAACGCCGATGCTTTCAGCACAGACACCTTGCTGACGGCGCCCATTGTTCCTTGCAGGAATGTGGGTAGGCCGCGGGTGGGTCGCGGGTGTGGGTCGCGGGCGGGTCGAGGGTTGTTCTCGGTGTGGGCTCGGGCCTGTCGCAGGTGGGTCACGGGTGGATCGCGGGCGGATCGAGAGACGAGACATGACAAGACAACAACACAAATACGGGCCGCGGACCTCACAATCATGCGCCCAAGGATGGTGTCAGACCGTTCGTCCCCCACACTGGGATAATGTGCGACCGTGCTGATCGCCCTGCGCGCAATTATGTGGTCTGGCCAGGACGTGGTAGCTCCGAACCAGCGCGTGGTCGTTTCCGAAGGATGGCGCTGTTCACCCAGCTGGTACTCAATGCTCAATTTGCGTGCTGAATGTAAACGAGTCCGCCTCGTCTGAGAAGGGCCTCCGAATGCAACAACCCCGCCGCAGATCATACGCGCGCGGGGATGAAGTTCTCGACCTCGGCGTCGCTCGCACAGGCGAGAGCAGGGAACGAGAGAGCCCGGGGCCCCTGCAGGGCCCTCTCGGGTCTGGCTGGTATCGGCACGTCCCCCCGAAACGCTGACCACCACCTCCCTGACTTGTTGGAAACTGACCCGGCACTTCGGGCAGCGCCCACAGGACCGACTCTGGCTGGGAGCCCTCGATCCTCAAAAACTGACGTCTCACCGGGCCTGCCGCCGTTGTTAGAAGGAGGAACAGCGGCATGAGCATAAACTTTTGGCGCTCCGCGCGGATTTCCTGGATCCGCGCTGGACCCCCCTCTCTGGCGCGCGCGGCGCGCCAGGGGCGCTGCCGGAGGCGCCGCCGGGGGGGCCCAGCGCCGATCCGAGAAATCCGCGCGGGCCTCCGAGTATTTATGTTTGTGTCACTTTATGTTCCCCTAGATGGGGCCCACTCGGAGTGCGGTGCCGAGCGCGCGTGGAGTGCCCCCGGCAGCTTTCACTACAGGGCGCTTTGCAGTGTCAGGCGCCGCCGGGGGGGCCCAGCGCTGATCCAAATTCGCGCGGAGCTCCGAACATTGATGTTCATGCCGTTTTTCTTCTT